TTCACTTGACAGCTCCAGGGATTTTTTTTTCTTTTTTTGGCCATAGTCTTTCTTCCCTGGAAAAAAAGGAGTTTCTAAGTTTAAAAATTTCTGATGGATGCAATGAGCAAAGACTGATTTCAAAATGTAAATGTAGGTTAACTGTTGTCTGATACCTACTCAGCTTCGCTGTGCATGAGCCTGCTCAACTGGGATACATTGTGGACCTGATTTTTCTCAGTCTGAGAGAGTTCCAGCCTGTCAGTGGCTGATCTGCTCTCAAGAGATTTTCCCTTGGGAACAGATCAGCCACTGACAGGCTGGAACTCTCTCAGACTCAGAAAAATCAGGTCCACAATATATGTCTCATTCTCTGTTGCAACTTAAATGCATTCATGCTAAAAGCAAAGTTATTCTGCCTTTGGAATTAACTCTCTCTCTGAAATAGTTGTTGATGGTACCATCCCTGATATTTCTGCAATAATCGTGCATTATGATGACTGCATCAACCCTGCAGGTGTATCTGATTTAAGAAACACCTGATTCTTCTGTTTTAAGAATATTTTCCAGTGGAATTTTAATTTATTATTAAGGAGATACAAATGATAACTTCCAGGCCCTTTGCATTTTCATCATTTTGTTAAAATTAGTAACAAACTGACAGTGTATGATAGATAGGTAACCACATAGTTACCTATTTATCATACACTGTTAATAACCACAACTCCACATAGTCATTCATGCTACTTCATCTGTTGCGACCAGCAACTTGATGTCTTAGGAAAAAATACAATTTAATACATTGGGATTCCTTTAATGAAGGGAATAATAGAAATCTGACAAAACAGCTTGTGAATTATCTTTTGTGACTATTCTCACAAACTACTAGTAGAAAGGGGATACAGTAATATGCAAGCTAAAAAGCGAAAGACAGTTGTCTGTAAGGAAGTTGCAAGATAAACTTAATAATGATTTTTTCTATTGGAAGATTTGAGGAGATCTATGAAGTGAGGCAATCTGTGAGATTAACGTATATAAGTCACCTAGTGGCTCTCTTCAAAGGCTATGGGTAAACTGATACCAGTAAAATATTGCAGCAAATGTAATTTTTCTATTTCTTAAGACACTGGGTAAATTGGCAAAGGTTTTGAGGGAAAGTAGCTTTTATGAAAGCTTTGTAATGAATTGTAGGATTTATAGAGGTAAGATAAACTGCAGGGTGCTAGGTTATGTTGAACTGTAAAATAAATCAGATATTATGAATAACAGAAAAAAAAAATCCTTCTCCTTGCTTCCTGTATATACTTAAAGGAACCTTATCTTATTTAGCACTTTCTAGGTCTCTTTTTCAAATGAACACTTAAAAAATGTACTATTATGCCTTAAGCAGTAAGTCATAGGAGATCAATCAACTTTTGGACTGCTAGTCCAAGGTAGTTTATCGATTTTGGAGGATCAAGAAGAAAAAAAAAGAAAAAAGTTGTATATATTTTTATGCTTCTCAGTGCCACTTTTTAGGCATTGGTGAATCTAGACATTTTGTTTTCCTTAGTTTGATTTGTTCACTGACCCGTTTAATGGCTAATATGGAAATTCTAGGGAAGTGGTTGAATGGATCCAAAGATGATAGAAAGGAACAGATTGTTGGAATTTTGCCTGGGAATAGCATACTTAGTGGTGGGAAAGTCCTCTGGGCCATCTAATGATACCAAGCTCCACTGAAGTTATACACTCCTTCTTTCCTCTCTGCCTCTCTCATCCTCTTACCAGCACTGGACCAGAAACTATATAAAATTGTTTGTCTGGATGTAGAGTCATCTTGAAGTTACTGCTTTGAGTTTGCAGAGTATCATGTTTCTACATAATCTCTCTGTGAAAAGGACTTTTCCCAAATTTAAACATTATAAGGACTTATTGAACACTCTGAAATAGCAAAATGCATGCAATTTGAACAGAAAATTGATAAAAGATTCAGAGGAGGAACATTAAAATTCAGATTGTGACATTTTCAATTGTGGCAATGGATTTGCCAACCCTATAGGCAATACTGAGAAAGTTCTAGGGAACTGCATAAAAATGTTAATATTCCAAAAAATAAACAAGGATAGGGTTGCATGGCAAAACAAGTTTTCTTATAGAGAAATCACTGCCCAAAAGATAAATGCGCTTTCAAAAAAAGATTTGGGTTGTGTTGCAGAGTGTGAGACCTGGACTGCTGTCCATGAAGCAGAGGTAGAATTAAAGACAGGCTGAGCTACTGAAGTCCTAATATAAGGTTCAAAGAAGTGAAAATGTAAAAATATAGTATTTAGTAAGAAAGAGTAGTACATCTGAATATGACACTTCAAAAAATATGAATAAAACTCCTTGTCCATTCTTGATGCCAGATTTCAGAAGAAGTGTCAGTCATGAGCTATGGAAGATCAATCTATTTGGCTTAATTGAGAAATTAATAACCTACAAGAAACTAGAGAATACATATCTGATAATGGAAAACTATTTCACCTTGCCAAAAAAAGCAGCAGGGACATTCAACAAGTTGAATGACTTAGCTGAAAATATAGTGGTCCCCAGTTAATGAAAATATGCTCAAACATAACAGGAAGTTAAGATTTGATGGTAAAAATTACCACATATGTTTTTGGATCTTTTGTTTGGAAGGACATCAGGTAGTTTGATTTTCTTGTAGCTTGAAAAATGTATGGACCTAAATAGGGACAAGAAATTTCCACTCATAAACCAAACTTTTTAATGTAACAACACGTTCTCCCATTTACTTTTTCAATTAAAGTTTCTGGAAGTCTTGGGAAGCATTAACAATTCTCCACAGGAAAAGCTCATTTTGCCCTTTTTCCACAGAATAAAACACTTTCTGTTCAGAACCAAAAGAAGGATTAAAAAAAAATCCCTCTTAACTGGTATAAAAACCTTTTCATTCCCTCTGTAAAAATCCATTGTTGAGATACATAACAACTTTAGTGCTACTTTAATTGCCATAATTATTAACAACCTAGATTTAACTTAGTCTTTTTCTAGGTAAAATCTCCTTAAAGGTGTACTTAAAAAATTCCCTCCTGCTAGCTTGCCTTCAATGCTGTTTAGAGAAACTGGCACACTGCTTTTGTAAAAGATCTCCAGTGTATTTATAGAGACAGTGCTACAAACAGGGTTTGGGAAAGAGGGAGAAAAGCACATGTGTGATTGCAGTGGTTCTATCTAAAATAGGATGAATGTAATAGAAATGTTGGCTCTAAGGAGTATTATGGTACACGTGTCTACACAGAAACAGATAAGTAGGCTGACATTTTTAACTTCTGAGCAGAAAAACTTAAATGCTAGGTTCTGCCTTGAAATGAATTTATGTTGAAAATCTATGCTGCTACTAACTACAGATTGCCTAGAATCTTACCAGTTTCATTTGGAAGCTGGCAGATGTGAGGCCTTTGGAAACCAGTTTTCAGAATACAGTGGTCAAAAGTTGCCCTTACGCTGTAGGGTATTTGCCAAGTGTTTATGCTTTATACAGAGAGGCCAAATGGCCAGCTTGAACCCAGTAACCAACATTTCACATACAGGTTCCTACAGCTCTATTAACAAAAATAGGTCTACTTCTGAAAACATAATTTTTAAATATTTAATTTTTAATTTTTAAAATTTTTAAATTTTTTAATAAAAATATCAAATTTTTTTGCACATAACTTAGAGAATGAGAAAGCAGACTTTTCTGAATCCATCTGGCTGAGCTAGAATATGCTTTAGCAGTTCAATTATTTGAGCCAAAATTAACCTAAAGATCTTTCATATAAGGGCCCATTTCTATGGCAACTAGAGAGGTATTGTGTGAACAATATTATCAAGTGTCTAAAGAAAAAGATAGCAAACAATCTTGGGCTTCATAACACTAGAGTTAAATATAGTTTTCCAATTGAATTAGGGGAAATTAGATCAGGCTTTTCATTTTCTAGTGCATAAATTTTAGGCATAATCTGAAAAAATGTTTTAAATTCATATGGAAGTTTTAACATTTGAGTTCTTAAGCAGTTAGCAGCAAATTAGAAGACATTTACCTAGGTAGCGAAGTCAATATTTTCCTAGGTGCCTTTTTAAAACTGTTAATGAGCTCTCAAAAAGGAGTGCTGTCTCTAAATGCAAAAATCCAAACTGAAAAATAGAAGCAGAACCATAGGAAAAGATCATATTCGTTGTATGAGGAAATATTAAACAGTTCAGTCAGTTAGTTGAATTTATAATGAACAAAGAACAAATTGGTGGAATTAAAAGCTTGACTGGCAGAGGAAAAATATCCTTTGTTAGTTTCGCTATGTACTGGATGATAGGTCTGACTTCAGAATGCAGTGCCAAGGGATATTCTGGAAGACTAAAATAAGATGGGGCAACACATATATCAAGGGAAATTTAGAGGTTAAGGAATTGAAACTGTCAATGGCTAAGAAATATAGTGAATCATTCTTTACCGAGCCAGAGGCTAGAAGACCTAATGAGCTAATAATAGCACACATTTCATACCCCCAGGAAAAGGGAGACATCAGAATGACATAGCAAGATAAAGAGGATTGGAAGAGCAACATGATTGGGATCATATGTGATTAAAGCATCGTCGTTGATTGTGGGAAATGATAGAAAGGTTTTCCATGATGGAAACAATAACAAAACGTGACTGTGTTCCAAAACACTCTATGCCCAGATATGGATCGTAAAAAAGATTTAATCACTTTGTTTTGCTGCCCTTTTCATTTTTCTTTTCAGAAAGGGAAAATTGCAGGAAGAAATGCTTCCTGAATACAAATAAATAACTTAGTACCACCTTTCAATATAGAACAGCCCTATGTGATGAAACTTTAAATTGATTAACACAAAAAGTGGTAGCAAACTATGAGGGAAGAACACTGAAGAAGCACTGGGGGTCATGCAAAGACGTCTGCTTCTATATTTCATAAAAAAATTGTTACACATAATGTTAATTATATTGAAGTCAGACTCAGCAGATGTAAACTGGCTTTTGACTTTATTGAGGCCTATATAAAGTAAACATTGCAACATCAGGTCTGTGTTTCAGTGGTATGTTTCAAATCCCCTTATGAGGCATTAATCTCTACGGGAAACCTTGGCTGAGATGTGAAGAGCAGCAATGGCATTATGAATTTTCAGCCTTGCAGCAGACCCACAGGCTGAAAGGCATTGATCACCTTTTCTTGCTTTGTATAAAGTCATTGAGGGGAGGCCATGCCCTCAGATGGGCTGTGGGCAGAGGAGGGTCAGAATAACCAGAATTCATCTGTTTCTTGGGGATAGACAAGTAAACAGTAGAAAATGTTGCTTTGGGATTGTTTTTCATTCAATAACATGAGAAAAGTAGGGCTCTGAAGGCATGTGAAAAATATGTTTCTTATCAGGTAGTCAATTTTCTGTCTGTTGTTTCCACTCACACCTCATGCTGTATAAGCCATATCAATTCTTGTTAAACTTCCTAACTGGAGGAGGTATGTGGTATTCTCATCATAATTATTTTCACTTCAGAACGATGGAACTAGATAATGCATTTAGGACCTGTAAAGTGCAGTAACAGGTAGTATCATTGGATTCACGAAAGTGTTAAATATTTTAATCATAAGACTTTATATGTTCTTTAGATGTTGAAAACTATTTACGGCAAAATAATATAAAACCATTTCACATAAGAAACACCTATATTATCTATGTTCAATCCCTCATTTTAAAGCTTATGAAGCACCAGTTTTCACAAAGTTGGTTAACAGTTTTCTAAAATATTCAGAATATCCTATCCCCATCACCCTCTGTGTATCTATTCTATAAACTGGCATCAGACAGATTCAAATTAGGAAAACAATCTCACCTATTGCTGATTTGTCTGGTGACATTTTGTTACCAAATCTCTCCAGCTTGTAATGTTGCTCATCTCATAGATGCTTTTACACCAGAGATCTATGTGCGATTTTTGTTTTGTTTTGTTTTCTTTTTAATTTTCTGCAAACGGATTTTTCTGTCAATGAGAAATGAGGAGTACAATTGTTTGATTAGTGGCATGAAATGCAGGAAGGCTAGGTATTCCCAGCAAGAGCAATTGTAATACTGAAAAGCATACAGGAACCCTTAGTGACATACTCTCACATTACTTTCTGCAGAACTGTTTTATTTGGTAACTTTGCAGCAGCGTCTTTAGAAAAATATTTATATTGAGGTGATGAAACTGAGATTCCCATGGGCAGTTTAGCCAGTTGTCAATTTCCCAATCTAGTTCTTAAGTGCATGTTGTTTTTCTCTTGTTATCCTGCCACTGATGCTATTCCCAGTTTGTATTTTCATATTATATGTCTTTGTTGTTTGTCTAAAAATAAAACAAGTTTCTATATACTGTTATAGTGTATTTTATTTAATAATGTTTTGTTGGTATGTTCTTTTTTACCCGGTTAAATGTATTGGTATCTCCTTGTTATCCTTCCTACATCCTATCTGTCAAAGCAAACCCCTACCTTCCTTCTAGAAAGTTCCTTGTCTGTCACCCCAGCCCTGCCCCTGCTCCCTTGTCCATCATTGTAAACCCCACCCTGTCTTCCAGATACTTCCCTGTCAATTATTTGTCCCTCCTGGCCCCACTGGCTAGTGTATCTTGCTTCCTCCCTCTGTGTATCCCTGAATTTGTGATCCCCTCCCCTTACTCCTCCCCTCAGGATTCCCTATTGGTCCACTCTTTGTACCCTCCCCTGGAGATCAGGCTGTACTTAACCCCCTGCACAGCAGGGCTTCGGGTGCTTGTGGACCTGACTCCTTCCAGTGTGGATCCCACGTTTCCCCATCCTAATAAACTATAAATAAACTCCGGAGAGACTACTCTGCTTTAGTACCTCTGTCCCTGACACCGTGCACCACAGAGCTTGGGGTGGCCCAAGTCTCTGGAGGTTTCACTGAGGGAAAAGCAAATTCCCCAGTGATTTCCCACTCTTGACGCCCAGCTGTGCCAGAGGGAGAGAAGTCACACTGTAGAGCTAGCCAGAGCTCCAGTGCAGTGCAGCATCAATATACGATTCTCACAAATTCTGTTTGTTGGAGGTTTCCCTTGCTGCTTTTTCCCAGTTGAATGATGTCCAATACTTTAGTTTCTGTTTTTTTCTGGGAATACGTAAAAAAACTAATCTTCTTTCTCTCCTTCTTTCTCTTTCTTCCTTTCCTTCCTTTTCCTCAACTTTTTGTAATTTACAACCACTTTTCATCCAACACAACAAATCCTATTTAGTCTGATTATTAATTCATAAAATTTTAGTGTAAGGTAGGCAAAATAAGGGGTGGTGTATCCCTATAGGAATTAATTCAGCACTCAGCCCCAAACAGAAATGTGTACTTGATTGCTTTCCTTGTTTGCTGGATTTTTCAACTTACATTTTCACCTCAGCAACATTACCTTAACCAACAGACTCTTGGAGGACAGGAAATACCATTCAGACATTGATCTACTTTGTATAAACATGTCAACAGTTTGCAGAGCAACTAACTCTTGAGCACTCCATTTTGTAGAACAAACAGTCCTAGACCAGACTACTAATCAATCTTTCCTTACCTTTGCCTTTTATGAACAATAAAACTGCTTTCGCAAAAACACCCCCACAAATGAAAGCCTATCTTATCTGAGTGTCCTCTTCTCCTGTGGTTGAATAATCCCTTAGAGATGACTAAACTAAAATGATCATCCATACTCCAAGAAAAGAAATATAGAATTCTCAGTTTATTCTGTATGGATCTAGCTCTGATATATTCATTTTATTGTCAGAACTATCCCCCTCTCAGAATATGTTACTGTTTTTTTCATGAGGTTTTAGTGTGTGCTTGTTTTTCAGATAGTTTTCATGGTTTGCTGAAAATTTTTGACAAACTCTATCCATGTTCATGTTTAGAAGAAAAAGTCACTGGTGTGCTGAGAAGGAGCTTGCAGTTACACGGTAACTTGTCAGAGAAGGAAGACTACTGAGGCAAGGACTGAAGCAAAGTCCCACTGACATACATACTACACGTTGTTTCAGGTTCACTAACAGTGAGTTCCATTAAAACCAAATTTTGTTACTTGTATTTAACATGCATAAATGGAGAAAGTGATCTTCTGAATTAAAAATTAGATCATGAGAGTAGTCTATCAACACAAAAATCAGTGTTTCAAAACAGGCAGACAGCTAATGGGTTGCCTTGAAGTGCTGAATATAGAGAAACAGTTTGGTGAGAATCCACTGGCTGGAGTATGGGACCTTCTTATATTACTGTGTAATAAATAATGCATATTCCTCTTTGTTCAAGGAAATATAGGATGGTATGATAGATGAGAGTCTGTCAGGATCATCTAGGTATAATGCCTGAGAGCAAAGAGGGGGAAAAAGTGATCTCTTAAAATTCTATGATATGCTCACCTTTTCTAAATATAGCAATTTCACCCCTAGGTCCAGGGTTTGGCCCTGATTTCCTAGTTGGACCATATGCACACAAACTTTCCTGACTATGTAGGCAGTCCAGCTAGTATTCATTCTCTTTTAAAAGTATTTATACAGATCCTGCTTTTATACCTCTTTAAGCAGTCTCCTTAATGGCATTTTTCTTTTGAGAAAAGAAGAAAGTTCAACCTTTTAATTACAAAGTTACTAGAATATTTCTATATAGAAATATACTACTGTATATTTTTACATTTTTGTAATAAGCAATAAACAAACAAAAACAAGATTTGTCTTCTTTCTGTCCCTGTAAACAAACCAGCATCACTTGCTGTGAAGAACTCCTCTGACATTTTACTGGACCAAGGTGTGAAGTAGATTCCAATGCCAAAGTTGTGAATTTGTTTCTGGAGGTAGAAAAGGACTACAGTACCTATCTGAAATAATTCTGAAATAATTACTTGAGGAAACAAGCACTGTATGATTTCCAAAGTGTTTATAATATAAATTCAAGGTTTCTTAGTACAATTTCTATTAGTTTTCAAAAGTTCTGGGCATCATGTTGAGGCCAGACTTTGTGTGGTGTTGTTTCACCAAAACTAATGGAGTAATGTTGGACTCTTGCTCAATGAAAACATAGAGAATTTGACCTATAGATTTTTCTTTCTAATTCTCTACAGGACTTGATTGACTACATTAATATAAAAATAAATTGTTTGCAATTTAATTCTGCAGTGTGTGATTGGTCAGGGAATTTAGAGAGCTCATGGGAGAACAATTTATATTTCCAGTCTTCTTTATAGACAGTTCATTCTTTGTACAATTGCTATAATTTTTCATGGTAGAAAGGCATTTTTTACAGATCACATATTCATTTTAGCAGACAAATAATGTATTTCAATTGATAATTTTAGTAGGTTTGAGGCCAGTTTTTGTAATGTGCTTGCAAAACACACAAAACAATCAGATTTTGAATTTACAGTGGAAGCTGTTTGGCTGCTAACAGCAGTAGTATTGTGAAGGCCAAGACCTCTCTTAAAAAGATCAAGTCTTGGTGCTGTACCTGGGTCGGGACAATTCCTGGTGCCAGCCCAGGCTGGGCATGAACAGATCCAGAGCAGCCCTGCCCAGAAGGACTTGGGGTGAGGCTGGGGGTGAGAGCTGGACATGAGCCAGCCATGGGCACTCCCAGCTGTTCGTGGTTGGGTTTCTTTCTTTCGTACTTATGGAATTTTTTCCATAAATTGCTAGGAAACTAACTATTAGGTACTTATGTATGAGTAGATGTAGCCAAAACTCAGGAGAGAGAAGATACCTGGCGATTTCAGCAGGCAAAAGACAGGGCTGAGGAGCTGCTAGGGCTCTCTCTCTGGGTTTCAGAGAACGATGGTCAAGCTGTTGTTTACTGGGAAGAGAATTCACTGTCACTACTGGAGCCCAGTCCAGTACTGCCTCGCCTTTCTGTGGGTGAGCCTTTGCTCATAAGAGCAGCCGTGTGACTGGGACATTATTAACACCTTCCTCACTGAAAGAGGGACCCATCCCCATCTGCTCGTGTGCCGGGGATCTTGGGCTCGTCCCTCTCTGCCCTGCTGGGAGCCAGGCCGCTGCTGTCCTGTCCTCACTGCTTCTTCGGCTCTGCTCTGAGCTTTCGCTGCACTGTAGCTCCGCATCCCCTGCCTGAAATATAAAATTATAGAATGGCCTGAGTTGGAAGGGACCTGTCTTGCGGCTCCAGCCACAGCTCCGGAGCTTCTGATACATCTCATCCACCACCCCCGGGGAGTTTTGCTCATTCCTGCTGGCCCAGCTTGCTGTTTCTGTAAGTCCTGCTGGGCACCAGGACCGGCTGCCCCAGGATTTGTGCAGCAAAGCATCTCTTGCATCCCTTCCCGCCTGGCACAGCCAGCATTACCGCGAGCTCTCCGTGCCACAGCGCCCTGTGCAACCATGGCAGAATCCCCGCCGCCGCCCAGCCCGCCAGGAGCAGCAGCTGCCAGCTGTGCCCCGAACTGTACTGAGGGGAGAGCGCCTGCGGCCTAGCAGGCCATCACTGGGTCCTGCTTCTTGTTAATACCGGGGTGGTTGTTGTTGATTTGCTTTCTTACACATACTAGTAAAAAACTTTTATTCCTATTCCCACATCTTCGCCTAAAAGCCCCTTAATTTTATAATTATAATAATTCAGAGAAGAGATGTTTATGTTTTCCGTTCCAAGACAAGGGCCTACATTCCCTAGCAGACACCTGTCTTTCAAACCAAGACACCAGTTTGGAAAGCACAAGAAAGATGAAGAGAGACTGTTTATAGGGGCATGCAGAGACAGGACAAGGGAGAAAGGCTTAGAACTGAGAGTAGGTTCAGATCAGATATTAGGAAGAAGTTCTTTGCTGGGAGGGTGGGCCAGAGAAACTGTGGATGCCCCTTCCCTGGAAATGTGCAAGGCAAGTCTGGATGCAGTTTTGAGCTGCCTGGGCTGTGAGTGGTGTTTCCACCCAGGGGGACTGGAACTGGGTGATCTTTAAGGTCCCTTCCAACTCAGGCCATTCTATAATTTTGTATTTCTATGTTTAGCTACTGTCACAAGTCACAGTTCTGAGGTGTAAGCAGATTCAAACTGGAGTCAAAACAGCCCTTAGCTGATCTAGCATGATTAATTTTGAGTAATTTTGGAAGGTAAGTTACTAGACCTAGGCCAAACCTCAAACTGTGGTAGCATTACAGTGAAAAGATGCAGCTACTAAACATAACCTCCTGCAATAATTTTCCATAAAGAAAGTTGGAAACTTGGGTGAATATATAATAAGAGGAAAATATAGAAGGTAAAAGGATTAGCTTTAGATATACAAATTTGCATGTAAAGTATGTACCTGTGGATATTTATTTTTGGTAAAAAACCCTATATGTCTATTTTATGTTTACAGCTGTCACAATCTTTTTTGCTACATTTCAGGCACTAATGATTTTAATGCAAAACTGAGCAACTTAATGGGTTGGAGATGTTTAATGAAATGACTTTAATTGTGTCTTTCACTATGTCTCCCATAGACATTGAAGACTGTATAAAACTAGTAATATTTCGCAGAAAATAATGATGCGAATTCTTACATCTGCTGGCAAGACACTTGAAAAATATTTTTCTGCATCTTTTGGAAAAAAAGCAGTCAAACGAAGAATTTTGTGGCTGGAGGTAAGAAAGGTGAAGTGAAACCTCCAAGAATTGATAGAAACCTTCCAGTTTATATGTCAACCTACCTCAATCTGCTTCAAAGCACAGGAAAAAATCCAGTCACTTTGATTTTTCTTCCAAAGCATTGCTTTTCCGCCCTTTATTATTGGGAGAAAAACATGGAGATACTCTGTAAACTTAACAGTATTAAGATAGTATTAGTAATTTATTGATCCATAAGCTGGTGATTGATTATTCAGCGCAGTATGGATTATATTTACTATTCAAATAAGAATGGATTGTATAATAGGCTGTTATGTATGGTATTTAATTTTCAGCTTCTTATCTCCTTCTAGCACTGGGCAGTCCAGTTAGATAGGTAAGGGCTTGCAGGCAGGAAAATAGAAACAATTAGTATCTATTGATGACTGTAATGTTGGTGATAGACAATCTTCGATGGTGGGCAACACAAATAATATGAAAGTACCCATATGAAAATAAGTTGAAAACCTGGAAAAAAGACAGGAATTGCTGGAGAAGGAAAATCACATATTTAAGTAAAATTTCTTAGAGTGTAGTCATGTTTTTTTAATTTCACTTAAGGTGGATTTTATAGGATAAATTAATATGTGATTAATTATTATGTGAAGAAATTAGATGTGTCTTTTTCTATAGATTTTTCTAACAATTGTAACAGTATATTTAAGGAAAAATGTGTTGAGGGTTCAGTGATAGTCTAAAAAATTCCTTTTCATATTTAGATTATTTTGTCACATAATGAGAACAACTGGAATAGAACTGATGCATTCTTTAAGCATTTAAAATGGCTCTCATGGATTTTTTAATGTAACATGGAAAGTAAGAAATGAAACTTTCTAAGAGTATCCTTGATCAAGATAACTGTGAAAAAATTCAGCAGTGTATTTGTATAAATATGTCTGAAAAACTCCATTGCTTTTGAATGTGTCAGCCCTGAAATGAAGCTAATACTTCTTAAATATCTTACAGCTCAATGTTAATTCTTGCCTCTAAGCTCTCGTTCTGTTGAAGGCATTGACTTCAATCTAGACCCCTGTACTATTAAAAATGCATTTCTTCCTAATACAGGACATTTAGTACCACATAAAGAAATGGGAAGATGTGTTTAATAACTCCATCTTGTGATAATGAATTTGTTCTCTAACTGGAGGATTCTCTCTGGCATTTTCTCTGAATGATCTGCTATGAACCCTAAAGCTGGTCAGTGTTCATCTTTGTACAGAAGAGCTGTCTCACATGTCAGTTCAGCCTATGAACATGCAGTTTCAGCACCAAAGAGCAAAATCTCCCTTTTCTTCTGAGATTCTTTTGTAAGAGAGGAGATGGAACTAGACTGATTTTTTTATGCTTACCATTTATATGTCAACTAAATGCACAAAAATTTTTCACTTTAGCTCTAAGAAAGTATGTTTGAAAGCAACTAGGCCAAATGTAAGAAAGGAAGAAGTTACTCTGTAATTTCTTCTGAAACATTAGAACAACAAAGAAGTGCTGTACAGTATTCCATTAATAGACTTATTTTCACATGGCATGATCCATTAAGTAATCAACTTCAATATGTGAACCAAGGATTTTTTTATGTTTCTGCCAGCTAATATGGGTCTGTGGTCTGGTGAAATATTTATTAATAGCAAGACAAGGAATTCAATGATAATTGGCTCACAAATTTAAGTAACTCCAATACTGAGCAGTGGTGGTGATCAATGCGTGTAATCTAAACATTTCTCATTTTTTCTATTGTCCAATGAAAAAAAAAATAAAAAATTCTTCAATTACATCTAGACTTTTTTTTTCCTTCCTTAAGTTGAAAATTTATGACTGCTTGGTCCTGTAAATAATTCAGTATCAGAATTACCACCTGAATTATTCTTAGAAATGATAGGTTGTTTTCAAAGTCTTTCATGCCACCATAAATTGTTCTAGCAAAATAAACCAATATTCTTTAATGGTAAAATAAGATAAATGTGATTGGGAAAACAGCATTTTATTTTATTGCAGATATAGGGTACATCCCGAGCAGGAGATATTATCTTTCATTTCTCAGATATCAACACTACATTTGCTGAAGGAATAAGATGGAAATGTTCATGATGCAGTTATGCTTACGAAATCTTTCGAATATAAGCATTGTTTTATGTGCATCAAAGAGATGAAGGACTGGGATTTTTTTTATTTTTTTTTTTAATTCTGGAGACGTACTGAAGTGCTGGTACTAATAACATATAAAACTCTTTGCATGAAAAAGATTTTAACATCATATTTTCATTGATCTAAATCTTCATTGAGGAATTAATGCAACTTTGCTGTCTAGAATAGAACCAGGAATTCTCTGCAGCTGAGGTTAAGCAAAGATTGTGATATTACAAATTAGAACTAAATAGGAGACTGATATTGAGAAACTGGAACCTTGTTAGCTATACTAATAATGAATCAAGTCTCTGAGACAAAGGGTCCCCAAAGGTGAGATAGCTGGAGTTTGAATAAATGGCTGTATTATTATTAACACATCCATTCATGAAAGCAGGTTTGTAATACATATTTGAAACTGAGCTCTCATGGAGATTAAGGACAGTCTATGTAGATAAAGTATATAGGGAGGCTGAGATGTATTTCTTTGGTTATTACTTTTATAAAATGACCCGACAGAAATATTTCTCCATTAAAAAAAATCATATTAAAAGAAGATTGTTGAAGTTTCAAAGTCAAATGCTGAAAAACTAGGAAAAGCATGAAAATAATATTGCACTAATAAATTTATACAGTGGAGCATTTCCTTGTTATCTTAAATACGACTTCTTCTGTGCAAATTGTGTGTGATGTCACTCAATGGTCAGCTATTAAACTTTTTATCCACAAGTGTGATGCAAAACCATGTGTTCTCCAATCCTGCTTTGTAGACACAGTTTTTACCTCGCTTTTTTCTATTGTGCTAATTATTAAATTAACAGAAGACTTCAGAAGTATGTTTGTGCACTTTGGCTTATATTTCCTCTGAAAGATTTTTCCATTTATGAATGAGAAGCAGAGACACAGACACACTAAGAAAAATGTTATCTTCTCATTTTAGAGCATTCGAAAGGAGTGTTTGAAAGGAGTTTGTTGGTTTGTTGGTTCGTTTGTTTTTCCTACCCTTAGTATTGTCATCTTCAGTACCACCCAGCTCTATTTAACACATAGTTCCCAGTGACTTCATTTGCAGCTCTGAAAATTTCTGAGGAATGGCATTGTGATTTGTGTACTTGTTCTGGATTCCAGAGGAAGGCGCTCAAGTAATCACAGAAGAAGGGTACACATGTGTTTCCTGGACTACTTTTTATTCCCCTATTTTTGTTTTTTTCTACATCTCGGTGTTTAAAGAACTTTCTCCAATTTTATCCTGTTTCCTTCCTGAACTATTTCAAAAGCTGATTAGTGGATCTAAGTTTGCTCTTTAGGACATTTTTAGTTCTTCTCTAAATTCTTTTTTCATCCAGTTAAGTGTGGCTTCTAGTGTCCCACTTTTTGTTCACGTACCTCGTGTGTTCTACAGCAACTTCTATCTGAATCAATACAATAAATATCTGTTTTCTAAACAGTAGGTAAGATGGTTGTCTCAAGTACAAAACTACATCTCAAACATTTGGCCTTCAGCACTTGACTTTAACTTAATGTTTGTGACTATTGTTATTGTTGTTGGCACTACCTAAGTCCTATTCCACAAAAAGTTTTCTTCTGTTCCTGCTTTTTTCAGGCTTTGCCTGTCGGTTTAAATGCATAAAAAGACAATCAGCCCTTGGGCACAGGGATACATACAGGAGTAAAATTGGACCCACCTTAGCAGTACCTTAGCAGGTACTTAATCCCTCCCACAGCTCACAAATAAACATTGCTGATTACAAAGGGACACTTAAAATCCCTCTCAAGTTCCTAATTTCAGCCTCATGAAAATGCACTTGTCTAAAGAAAGGAATACAAATTTCACTGGGTGAGAAAAAGACTAGGACATGAAGTTGTAGGATGTATTTCCCCCAGGTGACATAATCGTGTACTATTAGAGCCTTCCTGGGGCAGAAATATTACCATCTTTTTTTCCTCCTTTAAAACAATTTGCTGATCCTTTGCTCAAATTTGTGTGAAGTTTTTATGTACTGTTAAGAACAGTGTATACACTGGCCTATGTACTGTCCTACAGGTATAACAGACATAATTTTCAGTTTTGTCACAGTAAAGCAGATCTTTTGGAATAGATTTCCAAGAGGAGTAATGTGACATGATATTGATGCTTTGTGATAGAGACTAGTGCATGCCTGTGATAGGAGGAGATTTAATTCAGTGGCTGCAAATTCTGTGCCAATCTATGCTCTTCTAACCAGAATGCTTTGTAAATATTTCCTAGAGGAAGGACTTCAAAGAAGAGGTTCTGACAGCATCTTCTTTTTAGGACCTGAACCGATGAATACTGAAACACAAAGAAGGGTTGAATTGATCAGGATATGGTATGTAGGGGCTTCCAATGCAAAGCAATTTTTATCAGTAGAAGATTTTTCTTCTCAATTTTTTGCCTTTAATGTTTGTAATGTAATGTTTGTAATGTTTTTTGCCTTCAATGTCTGTCTGGAATGAAGATGCAAAATTAACTTTCCTCATGGTAGCTTGTGTGGTGCTGTGCTTTGCATTTGTGGCTGAAGCAGTGTTGATAATACACCAGTATTTGGCTACTGGTGGAGAGCTTAATGTCCAGGCTTTCCATTCTCTGTTCAGCCCAGACAGGAACAGGCTGGATGTGAGAAATGGCTGAGACAGGCCACAGTCAGAACAGCTGACACAAGCTGACCAAAGGGGCATTCTATACCATTTTGCATCATGCCCAACTATAAAGGTGAAGAAAGTGGGGTATTGGTTGTGGTGTTTCTCTTCCTATTTTGTGTGCTGAGGTGCTGGTCTCCTGGAATTGGGCGAACATCTGCCTGTCAATGGAAAGTAATTAATTAATTTCTCTTTATTTGGCTCTACTTGCATGCATGTTTTTTTTTTCCTCCTTATCAAACTGTCATTATTTTCACTGATGTTTTTTTTTTGTTTGCTTTCTATTTTCCCCCCATCCCCTGGTGGAAGGGGACTTGAGTGAAAGGAAGAAGGATTGGCTACCATCTGGACTTAATCCACTGCTGTATTTAATATAAAAATTTGTTAAAATTTAGGCATCATAATAAATTTTGATATTGTTTTGGAGGTTAAGTCTTTAACTCTAGTGTCAGCTTCTCACTTTTTTGTCATTTAGGTAGAAAATCTAATCAGTGTAGGTTAGATCTCTGGATTCCATTCAAAATTAGATCTGTAAATTGCAAACTTTATTTTCAAGTTTTACATTGCCTGAAGTGAATCTTGCCATGGCCACAGGCTGAAGGCCAACAATTGTCTCCACACTTGTGAACTTTTTTTCAAATAAAGAGGGTGAAAGTGAGAATGAGATTATATGATGGCATCAATATAAAATCTCAACAAGTGGGAGGGAGAAAGTGTTTCACTGGAGAGAAAAATAATTTATGCATGCTTGAAGCAAAAGGTGATATGAGTCTGTGAGCATGTATATTTTAACAAAGGTTCTGTCCTTACAGGCTGTGTAGGCAATCTCTCTTCAAATCCTTGTGGAACTGTTTAATCACAAAACCAACCTTATTACCGTATGTTCTCAACTTACTTGACCTAGATATTGTAAATAACTGAATACTTTAATATATTTTAAATAGTTTCACTTTATATTATTGTTGTCTTAACCAAGGGTACTTATGTTTCAAGAGATCAAGATTTTCTCTGAATGACAGTGTGGAAATATTTCTCCCAATAATGCATATTAATAAAATATGACTTTCAGTATACTGTATTTGATTTCTTTAATAATTTAATACTGTCAATGCTGTGATTCAAGTAAGCTGACTAATTCAAATTTCTAACAATATTCTGCTTTATTTATCACTATTTAAAACATGCATCCATTAACTCTTCCTCCAAACATTCATTTATTTCTTTAGGCATGCTTTATCAAATGATCTGTAATACTTGCATAATCTTATTATTTATCAACATTTTTTTCATTGTTTTTACTCAGAAAATATTACAAACCCTCACAATACATTGTTTAGTTGGTGTGGGATGCTCAGATTCTATATGGTACATGCTGTGGTCTTAGACTTTATGCAATCTGGAATAAAAGTTGCATTGTCATTCTGCTCATTGGACTACCAGAAAAAGGTTTTCATGCAAGTTGCGCAGTGTCTCCTAGGTCTGCTCAAAACAGATGTTTTTAAAGGGATTGCACAGCTTTGTTCTTGGGTATTTTGGTGTGAGAATGAGGAGAAGGGATAATGGATATGCTATGTTGGGCTTTTTACCTTTGTTAGTTTTGTTTTTCTTTGTTACTCCACTGCCCTTACAATCTCTCCAGAGTAGAAGCAAAGCAAAAAAAAAAACCAAAACTTTTCCCAGTTTACTAGTGTAGTTTACAGGTGAATAGAGAGAGTATACTAATGAATAGGGATCATTTTACATCTCTCACAATGAGATTCATTCACCATGAATCTGCTACTGCAGACACACAAGACACATCAAACTACAAGCTTTGCTCTCTTTATGTGTGGTAGGAATAAGTATCAAAGCAATTCACCTTGCATTTCAGTAAATTACTATTATAGGTATTATAGTATTCTAGTAAGAAAATAAATTGCATCCTGCCCTATTTTTAGTGTAAAAACAGTTGAGGAAAAACCTAAAAATAGGTTTCAATATTTATTTCTTTTGCTATAAAAACAACTTCACATACCTAAAGTTAAGCATTTTCTATATATATGAGAGAAATGTTAAGTCAGACAAAATTTGTATAATTTTTAATTATGAATCAGATACAGGAAGATAATTTTGGTATTAAATTAAGTTTCTATATGCAGTATATTGCCAAGTAAATCTCAAAAATACATACAAAAAATTTGACATCCATTGCTGCAGGTTTTTTAAGGTGTTCTAGCAATTAATGTCCCAAGTGTAGTTGAAAACAGCCCAGTCATACATTTACATTGGGAAATTACAGTGACATGAAGGTTATAGGTTGATTCAAAATTGCATAGTCTGAAATCGTTCCTTTTTCAAATGAAGTATGACTCAGCTTTCAAGTCCAGTAATTTATTACAAGTTTGTATCTGGCTGAGACCACAGGTCAGATCTAAAATGTGTTAGGCTAAAATGGGCATAGAAAAGCTAGGTCTGCATTTTCACTGGTGCATGGAAAATGCACCCAGAATGAACGCAGTATCAACAATTCTAATTGTTGTCAAACTTATCTCAGTCACTTTGCTGTGACTGTGAAAGATGCAGAAAACCTGGCATATTTGTTAAAAAATGAAGGTTTTTTCACTGGGGATAAGCATAAATGAGACTGGATTTGTGTGTCAAGCAGCTGTAGCTGAGGAATACTATTAGAGTAGACCTGGGTCTAAATGGATTGTGTAAATTTTCATTATTTTCTATTTGTTCGCTATGTTAGGTGACTAATATATGGAAAATGCACAACAAAATTACTTCTGTATCTGTTCTGTGCAATCTTCTGTCATCTTTCTTTACTGCCTTTGACTTAATCCCAATGCTTCTTGGCAGCAGTGGGCATTTTCCAGGATGAAATGCTAGATGATGTACTTGTATTCCCTGGGTTGTGGCTGTAGATAAGATTTCATGACAGAATTCAGTTAAAGAGTTTTAGTAGAAGTTCTTCCTTCTGCTTTTTTATACTGGAAAACTTTTTGATCTTGTGTTGTGTTTTCTTTGGAATATTTTGTTCCCATTTTCTTCACCTCACTTTTGAAGAGCTGCACAAGGAGAAGTTCATAGAGTTGTAGGAATACCATTCTGATTGGACGAAGTCATTAGTACCTACATGTTCCTGAATCAAGAAATATAAGTTGCAGTCTGGTATCAAATTATTTACTAGATGTTTTAAAATCAAAAGCTAAAACATACAAAATGCTTTGCATCTGTTGTTTGAGCTATTTCTGTAGCTGGCACCATTAGAATATAATTTTGTGCCCATTTTAAGTTGTGGGGATGTTAGAATTTAATTGTAGTGGGGAGCATATCATTAGTCTTGAGCATCTGCCAGACATTAAGTTCTTTAGTGGCCAACATTCTTACAGAGCTTTGAAACACAGTCTTTGAGTTCACTAATGATTTGATACCATTTGACTGCAGAAGCCTGGAAAGGAAAATATTTGCAAACATGGAAGTTTGTTTTATGTTAACAAAGCATTCTGAGTGAAATATGGGCAAATAGACATCAAGGCAAAGAGGTTTCCCTGTTTACTTTTTTAATTCTCTCTTTCATAGATTTAATTTTCTCTTTCATATATTACAAGCAAATGGATTTCTGTAGGTTATGTGTATATGTATATATCTTGTATATTATTCATGTTAATTCTAATGAAGGAGACACCATATGGAAAATCAGTTAGCGCATTTTTGTCTTTCAATTATATTGACATGATACATTTCCTGGTGCCATAGAAGACATGTTATCACAGATGGAGATGCACAAAATTTATATTGAAAGCTCAGCTACTCACACTTTTAGAAGAAGAACATGCATCAAGTCTCCATTTGAGAGAGTTTGTTCACTTCAGCAGAGGAACTTCCAAACAGCAAAAATCCAAAACAGACTATGTCACAGACTTCTCATAGACTGATTTTGGACCATGTGCAGAGGCATACTCTGTACAATTCTCCTGTAAACAACAGTCAAAAAAAAGAAAAACTAAATGTGAAATGACTCATGTAATAGGACAAACCCAAGATACTGCTTCTTTTGTTATATTTAATTTTGGGCTATGATATATTACCCAAAAGGTCAGGGAATATATATCTAGTGTTTTCAGAAAAAAGGAATCTTTCAAAATCTTTCAAATCTTTCAAAAAGCAATTCTAATTCTGCATGATGTAATTAAGTTGTAGCAACTTAAAGGTAATGATTTTCTTACTTTGAGGGCAAAATATATTTTATAATGAAGTATTCATTCTCTGCACAAATTAATGAAATTACTGTGTTCAGATATTCTGGTGTTGATTTAACTATTTCTAAATAATTTAAAACTGTATTTTTTTAAAATAAATGTGAAAAATTTGGCTCCTCTTTCACTTTCAGGTTGCCTTGCATTACACGTCTCACTTACTGTGGTTTGTAAAATCACAGAGTTATTGAAAGGCTTGTATTGACATGGACATCAAAGATCATCTAGGTCCTACCCCACCTTCCATGGACAGGAGATTTCCACTAGACTAGGTTGTGCAATGCCCCATCTGACCTGGCCTTGGAAACTTGGGACTGTCTCAGCCTCTCTGGGCAACATATTACATGCCTCACCATCCTCACTCTGAAGAATTTCATTTTAATATCTAATCTAAATACCTCATCTTCCAGTTTACAACCATTTCTCTTCGTCCTGTCACTATCTGCCCGTTTAAAAAGCTGTTTTCCCTCTCTTTTATAGTCCTACCTGAAGGCTAGAGTGGGATGTCCCCAAAACTTTCTCTTGCCAGGCTGAACAGCCCCAGCTCTCTCAGCCTCTCATTATAGATGTGTTCCATCACTCTCACCAACTTCATGGCCCTCCACTTGACCCGCTCTAGCAGGTTCATATTTTTCTTATGCTGGAAAAAACAGAGCTGAACACAACACTCCAGGAGGAATGTCATGAGGGCTGAGCAGAGGGGCAGAATCTTTTCCCTCAACTGCTGCCCATGGTGCTTTGGATGTAGCCCAGGACACACTTGGTGGGGCTGGGAGTGCCTATGGCTAGCTCATGTCCAGGTTTTCATCCACAAGAAACCTTAAGACCTTCTCCGCAGGGCTGTTTTAAATGTTTTCTCCCATTCTGTGCTCATTTCTGGGATGGTCGTGATGCAACTGCAGGATCTTGCACTCAGCCTTGTTGAACTTTATGAGGTTCACATCCCCCTCTCAAG